TTGTTTTTTTTTTTTTTTTTTTTTTTTTTTTTTTGCGGTACACGGCCCTCTCACTGTTGTGGCCTCTCCCGCCACGGAGCACAGGCTCCAGACACGCGGGCTCAGTGGCCATGGCTCACGGGCCCAGCCGCTCCACGGCATGTGGGATCTTCCCAGACGGGACATGAACCCATGTCCCCTGCATTGGCAGGTGGACTCTCAACCACTGCGCCACCAGGGAAACCCTGAAATAGCTTCCTGATGGTCAGGTGCTTTAAGTGAAATTAGGCATATCTGAGCTTTTGTATAAATAGTAGTATCACCTTCCCCCAATCCCATCTTGCACCCCAATTCTGCGGCTTCATCTACCTGGTCTCTATAAAATCAAGGAGCCACAGAAGCAGACCCATCTCCCCAGTGTTTGTCTCCTAAGGATGACTCGGTTGCCAGATCAAATTAGCATTTGGTGATTTGCTACCTATCTACTCATGCCACATTTTCAAGATTTTATCTCACCCCAGGTGATTCTTCACTCTGCTTTACCATCCTCAAGTTCATAAGCAGTGCAGAAATCCAGAGAATGCACATGTTAGAGATGAGAAATGGTAAAGACTTCACATCAATCATATCCACCCTATCGTTTGATAAATGCTACAAGGGAGTCTGAAGGAAATGTATCTGCCAAAATTAACAAGGAATACATGTAAGACGTATTTCCTTTTAGTTTTTGCAGTATAACGTAAATGGGCATATGGTTCTATTTAATAAATAGACTTATAGGCAACTTTACTCAAGAAACAAAACATAGAAGATACGTATTTGTGTTTTATTTCCTTATTCTGGTAGATAAGAGAGAATGATTGCAAAGATCTCTATGTATCTATTTATATATTTATCTGTTTATGTATGTTTCTGTTTATATGTCAGTTGTCTGGCATCTTGTTTATGAAAGATAGAAGATGTGTATTTAATAATGATAATGTTTATCTCTGACCAGGAAAATGAAATGGAATTAGATGATTCTCCTTTTAAATGGCTTTTCAGTGGGAGATCTCAAAGTCCTTGAGAAATACTTCCCAAAGCCCTGAAAGCTAGTTGAAACCTATTACTCCATGTATTTCATTACACTAGTCTTTAGGATATCTCTCCACGTGACGCATACAGAAGAACCAAATTACAAACGAAGAAATAGAGAACAAAAAGGCCAAGTGACAAAATTGCAGATCCAGAGTGGGGATCTTCTGCTGTCTGAACAGCCTGGTCCCAGTCCATAGTGACACCTCCTACCCCCAGGACCTGAAGAAACTCATAACAATTTTGAGTTATAAACTCATAACTGCTTTATACAGAAGAAATTATTTCTGGACTATCTGGGAGCTAGTAAAACGTTCACTTGTTTAGTGATTCTCTGACTTCATGGTGCAAGGATGTCTGATTCA